TGGTCTTTTGGTCGTTGAAAAACATTCTTTAAAAAATCCACGTTTCTTGGTCTTTTGGTCGTTGAAAAACATTCTTTAAAAAATCCACGTTTCTTGTTTTTTTGGTCGTTGAAAAAACGTTCTTTAAAAAATCCACGTTTCTTGGTCTTTTGGTCGTTGAAAAAATATTCTTTAAAAAATCCACGTTTCTTGGTCTTTTGGTCGTTGAAAAATTATTCTTTAAAAAATCCACGTTTCTTGGTCTTTTGGTCGTTGAAAAAATATTCTTTAAAAAATCCACGTTTCTTGGTCTTTTGGTCCTTGAAAAATTATTCTTTAAAAAATCCACGTTTCTTGGTCTTTTGGTCCTAGAAAAAATATTCTTTAAAAAATCCACGTTTCTTGGTCTTTTGGTCCTTGAAAAAATATTCTTTAAAAAATCCACGTTTCTTGGTCTTTTGGTCCTTGAAAAAATATTCTTTAAAAAATCCACGTTTCTTGGTCTTTTGGTCCTTGAAAAAATATTCTTTAAAAAATCCACGTTTCTTGGTCTTTTGGTCCTTGAAAAAATATTCTTTAAAAAATCCACGTTTCTTGGTCTTTTGGTCCTTGAAAAAATATTCTTTAAAAAATCCACGTTTCTTGGTCTTTTGGTCCTTGAAAAAATATTCTTTAAAAAATCCACGTTTCTTGGTCTTTTGGTCCTTGAAAAAATATTCTTTAAAAAATCCACGTTTCTTGGTTTTTTGGTCCTTGAAAAAATATTCTTTAAAAAATCCACGTTTCTTAGTCTTTTGGTCCTTGAAAAAATATTCTTTAAAAAATTCACGCTTCTTGGTATTTTGGTCCTTGAAAAAATATTCTTTAAAAAATCCACGTTTTTTGGTCTTTTGGTCCTTGAAAAAATCCACGTTTCTTGGTCTTTTGGTCCTTGAAAAATATTCTTTAAAAAATCCACGTTCCTTTAACTTATGGTCCTTGAAAAATTATTCTTTAAAAAATCCACGTTCCTTTAACTTATGGTCCTTGAAAAAATATTCTTTAAAAAATCCACGTTTCTTTAACTTATGGTCCTTGAAAAAATATTCTTTAAAAGTTCACGTTTCTTGGTATTTTGGTCCTTGAAAAAATATTCTTTAAAAAATCCACGTGGATTTTGGTCCTTGAAAAAATATTCTTTAAAAAATCCACGTTTCTTGGTCTTTTGGTCCTTGAAAAAATATTCTTTAAAAAATTCACGTTTCTTGGTATTTTGGTCCTTGAAAAAATATTCTTTAAAAAATTCACGTTTCTTGGTATTTTGGTCCTTGAAAAAATATTCTTTAAAAAATTCACGTTTCTTGGTATTTTGGTCCTTGAAAAAATATTCTTTAAAAAATCCACGTTTCTTGGTCTTTTGGTCCTTGAAAAAATATTCTTTAAAAAATCCACGTTTCTTGGTCTTTTGGTCCTTGAAAAAATATTCTTTAAAAAATCCACGTTTCTTGGTCTTTTGGTCGTTGAAAAACATTCTTTAAAAAATCCACGTTTCTTGGTCTTTTGGTCGTTGAAAAACATTCTTTAAAAAATCCACGTTTCTTGTTTTTTTGGTCGTTGAAAAAACGTTCTTTAAAAAATCCACGTTTCTTGGTCTTTTGGTCGTTGAAAAAATATTCTTTAAAAAATCCACGTTTCTTGGTCTTTTGGTCCTTGAAAAATTATTCTTTAAAAAATCCACGTTTCTTGGTCTTTTGGTCGTTGAAAAAATATTCTTTAAAAAATCCACGTTTCTTGGTCTTTTGGTCCTTGAAAAATTATTCTTTAAAAAATCCACGTTTCTTGGTCTTTTGGTCCTAGAAAAAATATTCTTTAAAAAATCCACGTTTCTTGGTCTTTTGGTCCTTGAAAAAATATTCTTTAAAAAATCCACGTTTCTTGGTCTTTTGGTCCTTGAAAAAATATTCTTTAAAAAATCCACGTTTCTTGGTCTTTTGGTCCTTGAAAAATATTCTTTAAAAATCCACGTTTCTTGGTCTTTTGGTCCTTGAAAAATTATTCTTTAAAAAATCCACGTTTCTTGGTCTTTTGGTCCTTGAAAAAATATTCTTTAAAAAATCCACGTTTCTTGGTCTTTTGGTCCTTGAAAAAATATTCTTTAAAAAATCCACGTTTCTTGGTCTTTTGGTCCTTGAAAAAATATTCTTTAAAAAATCCACGTTTCTTGGTTTTTTGGTCCTTGAAAAAATATTCTTTAAAAAATCCACGTTTCTTAGTCTTTTGGTCCTTGAAAAAATATTCTTTAAAAAATTCACGCTTCTTGGTATTTTGGTCCTTGAAAAAATATTCTTTAAAAAATCCACGTTTTTTGGTCTTTTGGTCCTTGAAAAAATCCACGTTTCTTGGTCTTTTGGTCCTTGAAAAAATATTCTTTAAAAAATCCACGTTCCTTTAACTTATGGTCCTTGAAAAATTATTCTTTAAAAAATCCACGTTCCTTTAACTTATGGTCCTTGAAAAAATATTCTTTAAAAAATCCACGTTTCTTTAACTTATGGTCCTTGAAAAAATATTCTTTAAAAGTTCACGTTTCTTGGTATTTTGGTCCTTGAAAAAATATTCTTTAAAAAATCCACGTGGATTTTGGTCCTTGAAAAAATATTCTTTAAAAAATCCACGTTTCTTGGTCTTTTGGTCCTTGAAAAAATATTCTTTAAAAAATTCACGTTTCTTGGTATTTTGGTCCTTGAAAAAATATTCTTTAAAAAATTCACGTTTCTTGGTATTTTGGTCCTTGAAAAATATTCTTTAAAAAATCCACGTTTCTTGGTCTTTTGGTCCTTGAAAAAATATTCTTTAAAAAATCCACGTTTCTTGGTCTTTTGGTCCTTGAAAAAATATTCTTTAAAAAATCCACGTTTCTTGGTCTTTTGGTCCTTGAAAAATTATTCTTTAAAAAATCCACGTTTCTTGGTCTTTTGGTCCTTGAAAAAATATTCTTTAAAAAATCCACGTTTCTTGGTCTTTTGGTCCTTGAAAAAATATTCTTTAAAAAATCCACCTTTCTTGGTCTTTTGGTCGTTGAAAAAATATTCTTTAAAAAATCAACGTTTCTTGGTCTTTTGGTCGTTGAAAAAATATTCTTTAAAAAATCCACGTTTCTTGGTCTTTTGGTCCTTGAAAAAATATTCTTTAAAAAATCCACGTTTCTTGGTCTTTTGGTCCTTGAAAAAATATTCTTTAAAAAATCCACGTTTCTTGGTCTTTTGGTCCTTGAAAAATTATTCTTTAAAAAATCCACGTTTCTTGGTCCTTTGGTCCTTGAAAAACATTCTTTAAAAAATCCACGTTTCTTGGTCCTTTGGTCCTTGAAAAAATATTCTTTAAAAAATTCACGTTTCTTGGTCTTTTGGTCCTTGAAAAAATATTCTTTAAAAAATTCACGTTTCTTGGTATTTTGGTCCTTGAAAAAATATTCTTTAAAAAATTCACGTTTCTTGGTATTTTGGTCCTTGAAAAAATATTCTTTAAAAAATCCACGTTTCTTGGTCTTTTGGTCCTTGAAAAAATATTCTTTAAAAAATCCACGTTTCTTGGTCTTTTGGTCCTTGAAAAAATATTCTTTAAAAAATCCACGTTTCTTGGTCTTTTGGTCCTTGAAAAAATATTCTTTAAAAAATCCACGTTTCTTGGTCTAATGGTCCTTGAAAAAATATTCTTTAAAAAATCCACGTTTCTTGGTCTTTTGGTCCTTGAAAAATTATTCTTTAAAAAATCCACGTTTCTTGGTCTTTTGGTCGTTGAAAAAATATTCTTTAAAAAATCCACGTTTATTAGACCAATGGTCCTTGGAAAAAATTCTTTAAAAAATCCACGTTTATTAGACCAATGGTCCTTAGAAAAAATTCTTTAACAAATCCACGTTTATTGGACCAATGGTCCTTGGAAAAAAATTCTTTAAAAAATCCACGGTTATTACAACAATGGTCCTTGGAAAAAATTCTTTAAAAAATCCACGTTTATTAGACCAATGGTCCTTGGAAAAAATTCTTTACAAAATCCACGTTTATTAGAGGAATGGTCCTTGGAAAAAATTCTTTAAAAAATACACGTTTATTAGAGGAATGGTCCTTGGAAAAAATTCTTAAAAAAATCCACGTTTATTAGACCAATGGTCCTTGGAAAAAATTCTTTAAAAAATCCACGTTTATTAGACGAGTGGTCCTTGGAAAAAATTCTTTAAAAAATCCACGTTTATTAGACGAATGGTCCTTGGAAAAAATTCTTTAAAAAATCCACGTTTATTAGACCAATGGTCCTTGGAAAAAATTCTTTAAAAAATCCACGTTTATTAGACCAATGGTCCTTGGAAAAAATTCTTTAAAAAATCCACGTTTATTAGACCAATGGTCCTTGGAAAAAATTCTTTAAAAAATCCACGTTTATTAGACCAATGGTCCTTGGAAAAAATTCTTTAAAAAATCCACGTTTATTAGACCAATGGTCCATGGAGAAAATTCTTTAAAAAATCCACGTTTATTAGACCAATGGTCCTTGGAAAAAATTCTTTAAAAAATCCACGTTTATTAGACCAATAGTCCTTGGAAAAAATCTTTAAAAAATCCACGTTTTATAGACCAATGGTCCTTGGAATAAATTCTTTAAAAAATCCAGGTTTATTAGACCAACGGTCCTTGGAAAAAATTCTTTGCCATTCGTCATTTTAATATTTAATCCCCCAGATGGCGCCCAACCGTTTTTATTTTTTCAACCTTTAAAAAATAGTTAAAATTTTATTTCTCTAAAATTTCTCAATATTTCATCTGCATAAAATGCCTCCATATATCGATCTCCATACACTTCATGCCCAATAATTTGTTCATCGAATTGAAAACCCAAACACCCAGCTCAGTCATATATATCCGTCGAATTTTTGCACAGCAGATTGTCATGGAAATGCATTTAATGCCTCCGAATAAAAAAGTCAATTTTGTTAATGCAATTTTTCACTGATTTGTTGTTTTTGTTGTTGTTGTATTTTTCAGATGGTCATATTGACCGTTTGGATAACATCCGCTGTGTATTCGACACCGAAATTTGTTTTCAGTAAAACCATTAAAAATGTTCACACCGAAAGTGGCCGCGAGGAGGAGATATGTGTGCTGGATAGGAAAATGTTCAATTCGAAATGGCTGGACATGATCAATTTTGGATTGCTGTACTGTATACCGCTGTTGGTGATGACGGTAAGTGGGGTGGGAAATTTTTTGGGAAAAAATTTTGACGAAAAAAATTGTTTGGATAAAAAATTCCGATGACGTGACGTATGGAAAAATAATATTAGGAGGCTTTTAAGAAATTTTGAAAAATTTCTGACTGCAATAAATATTTTTACGGAAGGTTATGCCCTTAATCCTCCTTTAAGTCTAAATATTTACCCTTCTTGACCCCCTATTAACCCCTTAATCTCATTTTCGTTTTTTTCTCAGGTCCTCTACAGCAAAATCGCCATTGCTCTGTGGCGCAGCTCCCGCGGCCTCTCCCATCATCTGGCCCAACAGGAGAACAGCATGGGCATGCACAACAGCATGTATCACCATCATCATCAGCACCAGCATCACAATCATGCCCATGCCAACAATCATCATTTGCACAATATTCATCAGCTGGAACAGCAGTCGACCACTTCGACACCCTTGTCGGTGGGCAGTAGTGGTGCCCCGTCGACGCTGTCACGCAAAGAGAGTTGCAAATATGAAAAACGTGGCGTCAACATCACCGAGAGTCAGGTGAGTGGAAAAGACAAAGGTCCTTGCGAGTCCTTAAATGTTGAATGTTGTTTTTTTCTTTGTGTTTTTGTAAAGAAGTGCACATTTTATGTTTAAAAGCTAGTAGATTCAACCTTTAACTTAAAAACGGCCTGGAAGGATTTACATGTGGACATTGATTCTCAAAATTCAAATGTGAGAATTTATGTACACATGGCAATCCTTAAAATTTGTCCATGTGATGTCCAACACCGCTGGAAGGAATTATTATTAGGGAAAGAGGCTTATGGAGACAGCTCGTCTATAGGAGGCGACCTCGACCAGCTAGCTATAGGGAATCCCTGGCCCGCTTCTGAAACTCCCTGTCCCGTCAGATTGTCTGTGGAGACCCCCAGGACCGTCAGCTCGTCTATAGAGTCTTTCTGACCCATAAGATCGTCAATGGATCCACATGGAGATTTTCTGTCGCTCATGGACAATCCGTGGCCCTCAGTTCATTTATACAGATTCCCAGTTCCGACAGCTTGTCTATGGAGACTTCCTGTATAGGCTCTATAGAGTCTCCCTTACCTTTACTGGCCCGTCAGCTCGTCTATGGAGACTCCCTGGCCCGTCAGGTCGTCTATAGAGTCTTTCTGGCCCATAAGATCGGCAATGGATCCACATGGAGATTCCCTGTCGCTCGTGGACAATCCGTGGCCCTCAGTTCATTTATACAGATTCCCTGTTCCGACAGCTTGTCTATGGGGACTTCCTGTATAGGCTCTATAGAGGCTCCGTTGCCTTAAATGACATTCAGCTCGTCTATTCCCTGACCGGTCAGCTCGTCTATATAGTCTTTCTGGCCCATAAGATCGTCAATGGATCCACATGGAGATTCCCTGTCGATCATCTCTGTGATGGACAATTCGACAGTTTGTTTATGGAGACTTCTTGTATGGGCTCTATAGAGGCTCCCTTGCCATTAATGACATTCAGCTCGTCTATAGAGACTGCCAGTGGCTCGTCTATAGAGACTGCCAGTGGCTCGTCAGCTCGTCTATAGAGACTGCCACTGGCTCGTCAGCTCGTCTATAGAGACTCCCTGGCCCGTCAGCTCGTCTATAGAGACTCCCTGGCCCGTCAGCTCGTCTATAGAGACTGCCAGTGGCTCGTCAGCTCGTCTATAGAGACTGCCAGTGGCTCGTCAGCTCGTCTATAGAGACTGCCACTGGCTCGTCAGCTCGTCTATAGAGACTCCCTGGCCCGTCAGCTCGTCTATAGAGACTGCCACTGGCTCGTCAGCTCGTCTATAGAGACTCCCTGGCCCGTCAGCTCGGCTATAGAGACTCCCTGGCGCGTGAGCTCGTCTATAGAGACTCCCTGGCGCGTGAGCTCGTCTATAGAGACTCCCTGGCCCGTCAGCTCGTCTATAGAGACTCCCTGGCCCGTCAGCTCGTCTATAGAGTCTCCCTGGCCCGTCAGCTCGTCTATAGAAACTCCCTGGCCCGTTAGCTCGTCTATAGAGACTCCCTGGCCCGTCAGCTCGTCTATGCAGACTCCCTGGCCTGTCAGCTTGTCTATAGAGACTCCCTGGCCCGTCAGCTCGTCTATAGAGTCTCCCTGGCCCGTCAGCTCGTCTATAGAAACTCCCTGGCCCGTTAGCTCGTCTATAGAGACTCCCTGGCCCGTCAGCTCGTCTATGCAGACTCCCTGGCCTGTCAGCTTGTCTATGGAAACTCACTGGCCCATCAGCTCTTCTAAAGAGTAAAAAAAACATTAGAAACTAACACTGGCGCCCAATTTTATGCCTGTCAAGAAACAGATATTAACTCCCAATAGTTGTTCTTTTTAATAAAGAAGTGATGGCTCCCAGTTGCAGGCCTTTTATTAAACAAGTCTCAAAACTTTGGAGGCCAATTTTGAGTATTTTAATGCTTAAACTTTGACACCCAATCGTGGCCCAATCAAGATACAAATATTGGCGACCAATCGAGGATTTTTCCAGAATAAAACCAGTAAAGAAAGTCCTAAAGTCAGGCGGGGCCGACTTTATGATATCCTACACCACTTTGCTAAATTAGTAGAGCTCCACATAACAATTAAAAGTTTTTTGTGGGAGAATTCAATCATAGACGCTATGATTATAATTATAACTTAAAGTTAAAAGGACTAAATAAGCCGAAGCATTTGTATCTTTTAAATTCGGAATTGTATTGCCCATTTGGATAAAGATATATATGGGAGCTATATCCAAATCTGAACCGATCTCGATAAAATTTGGCAAAGATATTTCTGAGCTGTATTTGATATATTTCCCAGAATATCGTTGTTGCAGAGTGCGTATTACGGCGGCGGTGGACAAAAATAACAAATCGGATGAACAATATATATGGGAGCTATAGCTATATCTGAACCGATTTCGATCAAATTTGGAACACATATTTTCAGGCCTAATTTGGTTGTACCTGCAAAATTCCATACAATTCGGGCTGATATTACACGTTTGGTGCACAATAAAAGGCAAATCGGACGAAGATATATATGGGAGCTATATCTAAATTTTCAATAGGGTTCGTCCTTGGGCCAAACAAATGATCTGTGCAAAATTTCATCTAGATGGGGCAATAAATGCGACCTGTACTTTGTTTACAAAAATACCTGGACAGACGGACGGACGGACATGCATAAATCGACTCAGAATGTGATTCTATGCAGATCATCAAAAGGAACTATGGGTCTATCTCGTTTCCTTCTGCCTGCTACAAACAAATGCACAAAGACATAATACCCTGACCACCTTGTGGTGTAGTGTATAAAAAGGATTAAAAATATATATATATATCGGATCCGAGTTGCACACAATGGAATCGTACGTCTCGAAATACACTCCATTTGGGCTAATATTAGCCATTATTTGTACCATAAACCTGAACTCGGATTAAGGATATATATTGGAGTTATATCTAAATTTCTCAAAGGTATTGTCGAGCCTTATAAGATATTTGGTACCAGATATCATTTTTGTTGAATGCATATTACGAAAATGAGGATATGGGAGCTATAGCTATATATGAACCAAATTTAATTTACATGCTTCTAGAATGAATTGGTTCGGTTGTACCAAAATTCAGGACTTTTTGACAAATATTGTCCATTTGGAGCACAACTAATCCCAAATCGGTTGAAGATATATATGTTACCTATATCCAAATCTGAAATGTTCTTAATAAAATTTTGCAGAAGCAAAATTTCATCTCAATCGGATAATACATGCGACCTGCATTTTGTTCACAAGAATACGTGGACGGACGGTCAAACGGACTGACATGCATAAAAAGACTCAGAAAGTGATTCTATGAAGATCCTCAAAGGTAACTATGGGTCTATCTCGTTTCCTTTTGCCTGTTACAAACAAATGCACAAAGACATAATACCCTTACCACTACGTTATGTAGGGTATAAGAAATTGACGCCGAATCTAGATTTTTTCAGGAAGAAATTGCGATTCTTTTTCTGGCGGCCAATTATTTTCCGTTTACACAGAAATTATGGCGGACAATGGCACTTTATTTAATGAAGAAATGCTGGCCACAATCACTGGTCCTTTTACAGAGAAATTCGAGTGCCCAAACCAAGGTCCTTTTATATAGAAATTCTGGCGCCCAATCATAGTTTTTTTATGAAAAAAAATCTGACAGCCAATCATGTGTATTTTAATTTACAAATTTATTAGTTTTTACATAAATTTTTAAAAAGAGTTGGCTATCACACATTTGGGGCACAATTCTAACTCCCGATTTTTGCCTACAATGGTGGTCTTTTTAAGACAACCAATATTGGCGCCCAATCTTGAATTTTTTTCAGATTGAAAATCTGTCTATGAGTGTTATAGGTTCAACTCTTCATTGAGTAATACTGGTGCTCAATCGTTCGTTTTTTTTCATTAAAAAAAACTTACCAAAAGGTTCGGAGGTTCGAAGAATCATATATCTTTTTTTTAATGAAATTCCGCACGGGACAATTAGAAAAAAAATTTTCAAATTTTATGTAAATTTAAAAGATGTTTATGTTATCAAACGTTTGGCTTCCAATCATGGTTGTTGTAAAACTCAAGATCTGGCGCCCAACCTACACTAAAAGGTGGTCAGGGTATTATGTATTTGTGCATTTGTTTGTAACAGGCAAAAGGAAACGAGATAGACTCATAGTTCCTTTTAATGATCTGCATAGAATCACATTCTGAGTCGATTTATGCATCTCTGTTCGTCCGTCCGTCTATCCATGTGTTTTTGTGAACAAAGTACAGTTAGCATTTATTACCCGATCCAGATGAAATTTTGCACAAATCATTTGTTTGGCTTAAGGACGAACCCCATTGAAATTGGAGATAATCGGTCAAAATTTACATATAGCTCCCATATATATCTTCGTTCGATTTGCCTTTTATTGTGCACTAAACGTGTAATATCAGCCCGAATAGCATGGAATTTTGCACATACAACCAAATTAGGCCTGAAAATATGTATGCCAAATTTGATCGAAATCGGTTCAGATATAGCTATAGCTCCCATATATAATGTTCATCCGATTTGTTATTTTTGTCCTCCGCAGCCGTAATATGCACTACGTAACAACGATATTTGGGGAAATATATCAAATACAGCTCAGAAATACCTTTGCTAAATTTCATCGAGATCGGTTCAGATTTGGATATAGCTACCATATATATAACTTCGTCCGATTTACCTTTTATTGTGCACCAAACGTCTAATATTTGCCCAAATGAGATGGAATTCGGCACATGCGACCTCATTGAGTCTAGAAGCTAGTATGTCAAATTTGGTGAAGATAGGTTCAGCTATAGCTCACATATATATTGTTCATCCGATTTGTTATATTTGTTACCCACAGCCGTAATATGCACTCCGACCCCGCCCGACTTTAAGACTTCCTTTACAGATTTTTCATAAAAAATTGCGAATTTTGTCAGACAAAATTTTTGGCGTCCAATCTTTTTCTGTTAACACAGAAATGCGGGA